CCCGGAATATAGTGTCATCACATTTTTCCATCCGTGGTCCTTTTTTAGTGAAATTAAAATAAGTTTCCGTTACTTGTTACATTTTATTTTTTGTGACGTTTCGGCCTTCAAGATCTTCTTCAGACATTTAATTTTAACCTACAAAAATGTGTTTTTAAATAAAATTATTTATAGCATTGTTTTCCTGTTCATAATTAAAACATAGATAAAAATTTGTATAGGAGTCAGCATTGAAATGATTAAAAATTACTAGTGCAAGTCAATAGAACAAACAAAGTGATTAAAAATTGTATAAAAATAGATGCACAACAATAAAACATACATAATTTTTTATATTACGATTACATACATACCTTAAGCCAAAAATCAACGGTTCACTATATAGTTGTTTGGTAATTTACAGTTTTACAACATTCACAACAGACATATTGAATATGTAAATCGACAAGCCACATTGATAAGTCGACGAACCAAAACAATAATGCGAAGCGAAGTAGGACAACGGAGTTTTTTTTTTCTAAAGCTTTTTTTTTTTTGTTTGTGTGAGATTCACGGGTTAATGTGTCTCTTTATTTAATTAAGTTGTGATAAATTTTGCTGAGATTTTTTGTGTCAGTCTTAGAGTTTATGGCGTTTGGATTTTTTTGGATCTCAATCATTTCATAAAATTCCCGTCTTTTTGTGTGCCTTTCTGAGCGTAAAATTTTCACAGTTTGAAAGTCAAACGAGTGCTGATTCTCCCTGGAATGGCTCGAAAGAGCAGTGTTATTTTTTTGTCATATTTATGGCCGTTTAAGCGACTTTTTAAGTATTGACTAGTTTGTCCGATGTAGACACCGTTACAATTTTGGCACGGTATTTGGTACACCACGTGGCTTTTTTTCTCGTCAGGGATTTTTGATTTTAATTTACTAAAGTTTTGTTCTAATAGATTATAACCTTTGTGTGCCACAGTAATGTCGTGTTGTTTGAACACATTGCACAAATTTTCCGATAGCCCTGGAACGTACGGTAATGGGAGAGATTGTTTTTGAGAATTTTTCTTCTCGGATTTGTTACCAGCATTTTGATTGTAAAATTTATGTATCCGTTTATTGAAAATTTTATTTATTAATACATCCGGATAACAGTTTAATTTTAGGGCTTGTTTTGCTTTTTTAATAGCTTGCTGTCTGTACTCAGGATCGGACAGTTTAATAGCTCGGTCCGCTAAACCTATTACGGATTTTTTTTGGGTGATGGGATGTTGGGAGTTGAAACTTACATACCTAGATGACCAAGTATCTTTGGTGTACCATTCGGTTTTGATCTGATCTTTGCTGTGGTATAGAGTCAGGTCTAGAAAGTTAATGACGTTATTTTTTTCGATCTCTATTAAAAATTGAAGTTTGTCGTTGTATGAATTAAAATTCTCTAGAATATCATCGATTTCAGTTTTTGGGACAGCACTTACGCAGTCATCGACATAACGATAAAATAGGGGGATGTGAAGATTTATATTTTTTAGTACGGATTCTTCCAAATCTTCCATTACTAACTGTGCAATAACACTGGAAATCGATGCTCCCATTGCACAACCATTGACCTGCCTGTAATATTTGTCATTGAATAAGAAATAGGTTGATGTTAATGTTAATTCTACAGCTTCAAGAAAGTGATTTAACGGAATATCTGTGAAATGTTTAATTTTTGGCCATTTTTTCTTTATTATATCTTTAGCTAAAGGGATGGGAATATTTGTGTATAGAGAAATGACATCTAACGAGATCAAAACATAGTTTTCAGGTATTCTGACATTTTTTATCTTTTCACAAGTAACGGAAACTTATTTTAATTTCACTAAAAAAGGACCAAAAAAAAACCCAAGAACCATTTCTTAAGAATATATAAAATTAAAAGGATCAATGCTCGAGCATTGAAGATGCCAAGTGAGATTTTGGCGAAACGTCTGCAGGATTCCAGTCGGATGCAAGATTTGCAGGATTCCAGTCGGATGCAGGATTCCAGTCGGATGCAGGATTCCAGTCGGAGTTCAACGAGCGAACGGATGATATCCCGGAATATAGTGTCATCACATTTTTCCATCCGTGAATCAATACGTGAGAATATATATATATATATATATATATATATATATATATATATATATATATATATATATATATATATATATATATATATATATATATATATATATATATATATATATATATATATATATATATATATATATATATATATATATATATATATATATATATATATATATATATATATATATATATATATATATATATATATATATATAATATATATATATATATATATTCTTAGCCCCTCGGCAACCTTAATTAATGTTGTGAGAATTTAAGTTCAATAAAGGAGAGGTATTTAAATCTAATTGATCGTTAAGCAATATATTTGAATGTCTCATTTTGTTAATCGCCATGGCTTCCAATAAATTTAATTTACTACTTTTTTGTGGCTGTATGTAAAATATCAAAATTGTCGTCAAAAATGTACTTTTCTGTGCATAATTAGAATCTAGACTATTGTTTTTAAAGGCTCTTTTATATTAGTTAATGCGTTTCTTGATGGATCTACCTGTTTGTTGGGCCAAGATCCGCATTTCAACATGTAGATGCCTGATTTTTGAGATTTTGAACATTTCGTTTTATTGTTTTTTAAAAATTTTCCTATTGTGGTGTTAGTTCTGAAAGCTATTTTTAAACCACATTTTGACACATGTTTTGAAACTTTTTCACTTTGTTTTGCTATGTATGTAATTGTTTTAAGTTGTTCGTGTTCTGTATTAGGTTTCGGATAAATAGAGTTTACTGTTGTCTGGGTCGGTTTTTTACTTAATTTTATCTATAATGGACGGATTGTTCAGTGCAATTTGTTTAATGATATTAAGTTCTTTGTTGTAATTTTATGTTGAGAGTGGCGTATTAAGCAGTCTGTGTTTAAAAGAATGAAATGCAGCTATTTTGTGTGTATAAGGGTGATTTGAGCTGTTATGTGTGTATGACTGTGTCCGTGGGTGAAGGTTTAGGAGAAATGGAAAAATCTCATTTGTTTTGCTTTGCCGTTGTCGTAATAGTTAAGTCTAAAAAAGTAATTGGTTAAGTGGACTGTATAATCATTTTGAAATGAAAACTATGTAAGCCGAGTGGGGCAACGAAATAACTGTAGCGACTTACCGCGGTGCCACGGAGCTGCCTGGTATTCTGGGTTCGTCTTCGGGGTACCCCTTGGTGATGCGGAAAATGTTCTTTTGGCAAAAGTAACGACGGGCGAAAATGCAAAACAGGAAGCTAAATCGGAACGAGTACAGCGAAAACTACCTTTCCAACAGGGTGGTTTTTACCGACTGCCGATCGACCCGAAAATTAAGTTATCGGCAAACAAAAAAAACGGGGAAACGCGTAAAAAGTCGCCCGTAGAAATTTCGTTGCCATTTAGCGCGCAATTTTAAACTATAAACTATAAAAATATTAAAGAAAACATAAATTCTTAAAGTTAAGTAAAAATTAATCATTAATAAATTATAAATAAGTATGGAACTTATTCATTCCGGCCCACCAAAGTGACTGTCACTTTCGGAAGGTTCCAAAGGCAGGGGACATAATTTAAGTAATGGCCTTTTAAAAGTACCCGAATTGGTACGGACATTAGCGACTCGAGCGTGGCCGTATGGGCCTTTGAAAATGTCCACAATTCGACTTGTACGCCACTGTAAGGGCGGAGCGAGATCGTCTTTTAACAAAACTAAAGTGCCGATTGTGGGTTCTTGACAGGGTTGCAGCCACTTTTGACGAGTTTGTAACGTGTTCAAATACTCCGCCTTCCATCGGCGCCAAAAGTCGTTGTGAATTCTCTGAACTAGTTTCCAGCGATTTGGATTACTTAATTTCTCAGTGTTAACATCGTCGTTTGGTACGGCGACTAACGGAGCCCCCGTTAAGAAGTGACCGGGCGTTAAAACTTCAAAGTCTTTGGGATCTGAAGATAGAGGTGTGAGCGGTCGAGAGTTTAAAGGCCGGTCCAGACACTCCGTTTTGCACAACGTTTTGTCTCCGCAGTTCAAGACGTTGCAGACAAAACGTTGCGTGTGGACCGGAAAACTGCGCAGTTTTGAGTCCGTCGGGAGGACTGCACAGTTGCAGCGATAACTGATCTCGTGAGCTCTGAAAACCGTGACCTGCGCAGACATGTCGTTGCGTGTGGACACTTACTCCGTTTTCCAATCCGTTTTGTTCCTCAGTTTTCTCTAATCATCCGACCATGGCAGATCTGCGGCAATGTTCTCGCGAGTTTTTGACGGATTTTATTTCACATTATGAAAGTTTTCCGTGCCTTTGGCGAGTTAAATCTAAAGAGTACAGTGACAGGGACAAAAAGGGGGAAGCGTACGAGAGATTGGTTGAAAAGTTCAAAGAAATAGATGTCAACGCGAGCAGGGAGACAGTGGTGAAGAAAATCAATTCTTTGAGAAGCGTTTATCGCAAAGAATTGGCAAAGGTAAACAAATCGATTCGATCTGGGGCTGGAGAAGACGAAATTTACAAGCCATCTCTGTGGTATTTCGATTTGCTGCATTTTCTCAATGATCAGGAGACACCAAGGCCGTCGAGGAATACCATGGACGAAAGTGAAGAGTCTGTAAACTGCGACGAATCATCACAACTGGTAAGAAAAAAAACAACAAAATTTCCTATTATTACCTAATCGCTTTATTAACTGAAACATATTCTTTTATTTAATAGGTACAATCAGCTTTTACAATGTTTATTACAAGTGTCTACTAAAAAATTACAAGTACCAAATAATTATTTATGTACGCCATTCATTGTTTAAAGTTATAAATCTATCTTGCCAAGGAACAGACCCCTCATTGTTCAAGTACTCCTTGAAATGATCTCTGACCCCGTTAGCATTGTTCAACATGTGGCCTCTTGGTCCACGCTGTAGGTCGTGCACTAATTATGGGTTACATCTTTCACCTAATTGAACAGTACATTCAGAAATATTTTCCTGATCCATACTTTCTGGAGGGGTGTAGTTTTGGGGGGACTTTCTCCGCAAAAAGTTGTGTAAAGCGCAACACGCAAGAACTACAGTATCGACGTTGTGCATCTTTAAATTAATACTTGTGTGGAAAATACGAAATCGGGAAGCCAAAATGCCGAATGTGTTTTCAACAACACGCCTCGCCCTAGATAGGCGGTAATTAAAAATTCTTCGGTCCCTTGTTAATGTTTCTCGTCGATATGGTTTGAGAAGGTCTGGACGCATAGCGAAGGCTTCATCCCCAACAAAAACATATCTTAAAACTCTGTTTGAACTTCCAATGGATCGGGGTTTTGGAATTTTTAACTCGTTGTTAACGAGTTTTTCATAAAATTGAGTGTTATTTATGACTCCTCCATCTGAGATCCGACCGTTTGTTCCTATATCACAGTACAAAAACTCGCAATTGGCATTGGCTATTGCCATAAGAACAACACTGTGTGTTTTTTTGTAATTGAAATAATAGGACCCACTTCCTTTAGGTGGCACAATTCTAATATGTTTTCCGTCAATTGACCCTAAACAATGAGGGAACTGCCACATTCTTTCAAACTCCGCTGCAACTTCCATCCACTCCTCTTCAGTCTTGGGAAACTGAAACAAAACAAAAAAAGAAGAAATATTGCAAGAGTTTCATCATTGAAAATTTGTAAAAATAATAAAAATATGGAGATCAATAATACATTTATTGTTTAATATTTTCAGGTGGAAGACGATGTGCAAGAAACTGTTATTGACAGTGGGCCCGGTGAAGCTGCTACTACCCCTGCTACTCCTGCTTCCGAAGCATCTACGAGTACTTCCCATTCTGTCAATACCTCGCACAAGTTAACTCGTAACAAGAGGAAGGCTGTTGGGAATGATGATGGCACAATTGAAGTCCTGCAGGTGATAGGGAAGAAACTGGAATCGCTACAGGCAGATGATGCATTTCAGGTATTCGGAAAACATGTGGCTAATAAACTCAGAGAAGTCCCGAATTCACAAAACATAATTGCTCAGAAACTAATTTCCGACGTTTTATTCGAAGCTGAGTTGGGTACGCTTACCAGAAATTTTCGAATTGTTGCTCAGTTTTGTGTGATATCGCCATGGAGGAGGTTCTCCTGTGGTCAATTTTCGCCTGCTGTATTGTAAAAAAAAAAAGATTGGAACACATCAGAGGAACCGTTCGTTCAAAATGGTCACGGAAATGGCTTTTAAAAAGGCGGGACTTTTCCCATATAAGATTATTGAGTGAATTACGTGACGAATCTAATGATTGGCGAAACTACTTGAGAATGGACATGGACACGTATATTTACTTATTGGAATTAGTGACACCGCATATCAAGAAAGAAAATACTTGTATGAGAGCAGCAATATCACCACATGAAAGGCTAACAGCAACTTTAAGATTTTTGGCAACCGGCAGAAGTTACAAAGACCTGGAGTTCACAACAATTATATCAAAACAATCGCTAAGTGAAATCATTCCCGAAACATGTGAAGCTATCTACAAGGTGCTGAAGAAGGATTACTTGAAGGTAAGAAATATTGTTATTTTCCATAAACGATTTATTATTTAATTGAACATTATAAACTTTATTATTGTAGAAAAGTTATTATGGTAAGCAATAGAAATGCACGCAAGTATACTTCAGTTTGGTTGAAATGATGACAAGTAGGTTCCAACGGGAGAGTGGGCAGGGGCTTGGTGGGCGCGTGTCTGTACATCTTGTTCACCTTGCTGTGGGATGATGCATGAAACTGCCGGAATTTTCCCAATTGTTTCATACTCCTGAGTGTGAGGTATTTGTTCTGGGGCGTAGTTATGTGGCATAGGCTGCGGCTGCTGCGAGAAGGAGTGGTATTGTCCAACTTGTGAAGAAAGATTTTGTTGCATTCTGATTTGATGTGGCGTATTCTGTTGAGGCCAATAATTCGTGGCATTCATTGAACCAAAATCATCTTGTCGCTGGCTTTTCATGTCAACAATTCGAAAATTTCTGGTAAGCGTACCCAACTCAGCTTCGAATAAAACGTCGGAAATTAGTTTCTGAGCAATTATGTTTTGTGAATTCGGGACTTCTCTGAGTTTATTAGCCACATGTTTTCCGAATACCTGAAATGCATCATCTGCCTGTAGCGATTCCAGTTTCTTCCCTATCACCTGCAGGACTTCAATTGTGCCATCATCATTCCCAACAGCCTTCCTCTTGTTACGAGTTAACTTGTGCGAGGTATTGACAGAATGGGAAGTACTCGTAGATGCTTCGGAAGCAGGAGTAGCAGGGGTAGTAGCAGCTTCACCGGGCCCACTGTCAATAACAGTTTCTTGCACATCGTCTTCCACCTGAAAATATTAAACAATAAATGTATTATTGATCTCCATATTTTTATTATTTTTACAAATTTTCAATGATGAAACTCTTGCAATATTTCTTCTTTTTTTGTTTTGTTTCAGTTTCCCAAGACTGAAGAGGAGTGGATGGAAGTTGCAGCGGAGTTTGAAAGAATGTGGCAGTTCCCTCATTGTTTAGGGTCAATTGACGGAAAACATATTAGAATTGTGCCACCTAAAGGAAGTGGGTCCTATTATTTCAATTACAAAAAAACACACAGTGTTGTTCTTATGGCAATAGCCAATGCCAATTGCGAGTTTTTGTACTGTGATATAGGAACAAACGGTCGGATCTCAGATGGAGGAGTCATAAATAACACTCAATTTTATGAAAAACTCGTTAACAACGAGTTAAAAATTCCAAAACCCCGATCCATTGGAAGTTCAAACAGAGTTTTAAGATATGTTTTTGTTGGGGATGAAGCCTTCGCTATGCGTCCAGACCTTCTCAAACCATATCGACGAGAAACATTAACAAGGGACCGAAGAATTTTTAATTACCGCCTATCTAGGGCGAGGCGTGTTGTTGAAAACACATTCGGCATTTTGGCTTCCCGATTTCGTATTTTCCACACAAGTATTAATTTAAAGATGCACAACGTCGATACTGTAGTTCTTGCGTGTTGCGCTTTACACAACTTTTTGCGGAGAAAGTCCCCCCAAAACTACACCCCTCCAGAAAGTATGGATCAGGAAAATATTTCTGAATGTACTGTTCAATTAGGTGAAAGATGTAACCCAGAATTAGTGCACGACCTACAGCGTGGACCAAGAGGCCACATGTTGAACAATGCTAACGGGGTCAGAGATCATTTCAAGGAGTACTTGAACAATGAGGGGTCTGTTCCTTGGCAAGATAGATTTATAACTTTAAACAATGAATGGCGTACATAAATAATTATTTGGTACTTGTAATTTTTTAGTAGACACTTGTAATAAACATTGTAAAAGCTGATTGTACCTATTAAATAAAAGAATATGTTTCAGTTAATAAAGCGATTAGGTAATAATAGGAAATTTTGTTGTTTTTTTTCTTACCAGTTGTGATGATTCGTCGCAGTTTACAGACTCTTCACTTTCGTCCATGGTATTCCTCGACGGCCTTGGTGTCTCCTGATCATTGAGAAAATGCAGCAAATCGAAATACCACAGAGATGGCTTGTAAATTTCGTCTTCTCCAGCCCCAGATCGAATCGATTTGTTTACCTTTGCCAATTCTTTGCGATAAACGCTTCTCAAAGAATTGATTTTCTTCACCACTGTCTCCCTGCTCGCGTTGACATCTATTTCTTTGAACTTTTCAACCAATCTCTCGTACGCTTCCCCCTTTTTGTCCCTGTCACTGTACTCTTTAGATTTAACTCGCCAAAGGCACGGAAAACTTTCATAATGTGAAATAAAATCCGTCAAAAACTCGCGAGAACATTGCCGCAGATCTGCCATGGTCGGATGATTAGAGAAAACTGAGGAACAAAACGGATTGGAAAACGGAGTAAGTGTCCACACGCAACGACATGTCTGCGCAGGTCACGGTTTTCAGAGCTCACGAGATCAGTTATCGCTGCAACTGTGCAGTCCTCCCGACGGACTCAAAACTGCGCAGTTTTCCGGTCCACACGCAACGTTTTGTCTGCAACGTCTTGAACTGCGGAGACAAAACGTTGTGCAAAACGGAGTGTCTGGACCGGCCTTAACATAGCCTCTATTTGACATAATACGGTGGACAATTCTTCATAGGTGAGTATTTGCGAACCGATGACACGTATCAAATGACCTTGACCGATTTTATTCCCGAATCCCATATACCTCCAAAGTGGGGGCGGATGGTGGTATAAAATGCCAGTAGTGTTAGCTTTAACAAAGTTTGTCGCGTTGTCTGAATACAAATTCTGACATGACTTCGGCGTGAGACAAACCGACGGAGAGCGACCAAGAAAGCTTCAGCGGACAAATTGGACACTAATTCCAGATGGATGGCTTTGGTAGCCAAACAGACAAATAAATATATGTAAGTCTTGGTAGTTTTAGCTCCTCTGTGTTTGCTAAGGGTAATAAGCAGATTGCCGCTAAAATCGATTCCCGTCGAAGAAAACGGTTTTTGGGGAGTGACTCTAGCGTGGGGTAAATTACCCATTATTGGTTTGGTAGATACGGGGTTTTACTCGAAAACAAGTGATACAGCGAGAAATTATGCTTTTTACTAAACGTTTGGACAACCTGTATACACCGCAATGCAGATATTTTCGATGGATAACTTGCACAATCAGATAGGAAAGTCTGCTCTCGCAGGGTAGTAACATAGGGTGCTTTTGGTTAAAAGAAATGAGAGCGTGTTGGATTCGACCACCCACTCTTATGATCCCCTCGCTGTCTAAAAAAACGTTTAATTTTTGAATTGGCTTAGGAAGCTTTTTATTACTCTTAATTTGGAAAATAATTTCGGGAAAATGTTTTTGCTGTTCGTGTTTAGCTAAAATTCTCAAAGCGTTATTAAGTTCGTTAAAATTTAGTGAATTTTGTTGCTTGCGGGAGGATGATTTGCAATTGTTTATAAATCGGATTACATATGCGGTTATTTGTTGAATTTCGCAGAGGTCGGATTGACTTTCCAATAGGTTGTTTATAAATTTGTCGGTCTTAGTTTTCGCGACTAAGCAAGTGTTCGGTTTATGTTCCATGTCTATGTTGTGAGGTATGGTAATTTTACTGGCGGCATGTGGCCACTCTGCGAGATGCGACAGTAAGAAAGGAGGACCGGCCCACCATAACGGGTGGTTTAGAAGCTCGGAAGGGGAACATCCGCGGCTGGCGACGTCGGCGGGATTAAATTTAGTGGGAACGTACATCCAGCAATCGGGATTGGTGTTTTCCTGAATGATGTTCACTCGGTAAGCGATAAAAGGTTTCCATTTGCTAGGATGGGATTTTATCACATTTTGTAGTGAAATATTTTGGGCGAAGGTGTCCGAGAGATATTTCAGCATTTGAGACAGCAAAGTTGCTGCTAGCAACTCGATTTGAGGAATGGACAGTACTTTAAGGGGTGCTACTCGAGACTTCGCAGTAACGAAGTAACTATGATGTCGATGCTGGCGGAAAATACGCAAGTAAACAACGCCTGCATAATCGCGTTCGCTTGCGTCGCAAAATCCATCTAAATCGACGGCTTCAGCGCCACTCAAATCCATATGGCGCGGCAAAGAAAACAACTCTAATGTGTGAAATTCTTTTTTATTGGGTTCCCAGTTGCGCAGAATTTCAAGGGGCGGTTCTTGGTCCCAGTCGAGTCCGAGAATCCAAAATTGTTGAATTAAGTGTTTTAAAGAGAACGTAAATGGCGCTAGAAAACCTAGAGGATCGTAAATACGAGCTAGCTTGGAAAAGATGTGGCGTTTGGTGCAATTTTTATCGTTAAACCTGACGTTGAAACGGAAGGTATCTGAAGATGGATGCCAGCATAGTTCTAAAATTTTCGTTATCTCGTCGGAATCGAATGAAAAAGCTGCAGGATTTACTAGAGATGGGTCCAAATGTCCATTTATGTAGTTCGAAACATCCTCTGTCTAATAAGAGAGTAAGCTCTTTTTGAAGGGATAAAGCTTCTGAAATAGTGCGGCAGGAGGTTGTGATTTCGTCAATGTAAGTGTCATTTAGAATTACTCTGGAAGCGTTCGAAAAGTTTGTCGATTCCTGTTCGGCCAAGAGTTGTAGCGTGCGGAGAGCGAGGTAGGGAGAAGAGTTTATCCCGTACGTAACAGTGCGCAGGTTGAAAATGGAGACAGGGTCGCTAGAGTTAAAACGCCAAAATATCTTTTGAAATTTTCTATGCGCGGGTGTAATTAAAGTTTGGCGGTACATTTTCTTTATGTCTGCGGTTAAAACTACAGGTTTCAAGCGAAAATTTAGTAAGATCGCGACGATATCCTTTTGCAACTTAGGTCCAGGCAACAAAGTATCGTTTAACGAGAGGCCGCTGAGCGGATCGCGAACACTAGCGTTAAAAACTACGCGTAATTTGTTGCTGATGGCGGTTGGCTTCAATATACAAAAGTGCGGAATAAAAAAGCAGCTGTCGTTTGTCTCCTCGTTATCGGCGTATTCCATATGTCTGAGATTCAAATACTCCTTCATAAAATCCGAATGTTCTAAATATAGAGATTCACTCTTTAGGAGCCTTTTTCTAAAGATAAAAAACGATTAAGCGCGAGCTGTTTGTTAGCGGGGAAACGCGGTGCCGAATTTTTAGGGTCGCTACAGAACAGAAGAGAAACAATATACCGGTCGTCCTCATTTGTAGACACGGTTTCAAGGAAATAATTTTCTCAAAGTTGGTCGTCGGGCGAGAGCGGTATTTTCTGCGGTATGGTCTCCGATTCCCAGAATTTTGTAATAACGTTTTTCAACGGTTCCGAATCGCATAGACAAAAAACGATTGTACGGATGTGTTGAGGGTGTTTGTTTGGTCCACGGCGCCCATTAGAACGTAACCAAAAATAGTATTTATTGCGACTGGATGATTACTGTCAGGACATGTAACTTTTTCGCCTTTAATAATGTGGGGAAACAGGTCGGCTCCGATTAACATCGCGATGGTCGACGGTTTATAAAACGTAGGATCTGCCAAGTGTAATTTATTGACAAATTTCCAATGATCGATGTTTATCTCGGTGGAGGGTAAGGGGTTACAAATTTTTGGTAAAATGACAGACTTTCGGTTCGTTGACGGAATAGAGTTTGATAAACACTGAACCCAATTGCGAGGTCATATCGTTTAGTCCTACACCCTGTATGTCGGTGACAAGTGGACGTTTAGGCAACCCGAGTTGATTTGCTAATTTTTGTGTTACGAAAGTGGTCTGAGAACCAGAATCTAGAACGGCTTTTACGGTTTTGAAGTTCCCGCGTCCGTCTAAAATTTGAACTAGAGTGGTAGCTAATAAAATTTGAGATTTAGCAGAAGTAAAGCCGCAATGCGTCTCGTTGTGGCGTGAGGTTGACGCATTGTTATTGTCGGACGGTTGAGAACTACTGGGTACCACATTCGGCGGCGAATACTGGGCGGAAAACGTAGAAGAGGGTAATGTCGAGCTCGAACCCGAATTGGTGACGAAATGCGATCGCGGTTCTGGAGCGTCATCTCTTTTATCGAAATGTAGTAGCGAATGATGTCGACGGTGGCAAAAGCGACACGAAATAGTGGACTGACAAGTTGAAATGGTGTGCACCTGGCTTAAGCAATTTAAGCATAGCTTATTGGTTTTAGCGAATGTAAAGCGTTCGAAAGGTGGTTTCGTAGCGTTTCACAAGCGTTTCGTAAGCGATTATGTAATTGGTATCTGTCATAGAAATATGTTTGACTATGTCAAGTGGCGGACCCTCAAATGTAGAAATTAAGTAATTGAACTTCTCTGTGGAGGTTAAAGCGAGATTGTTGTGGACTGAGCTATTGAACATGTCCAGAAAAGTTGGGAAAACGGTTAAATCACCTTTGAAAGTTACTAATTTTAATTTGTGTAGGTAGGGCATAGAATGGCAAAACTGCGTCAAAGTAGGTTTTATTTCGGTTGGTTCGAAAACCAAAACCACCAAATTGGACATTCCTCAGCGTTTCGATCTTTTTTAAAGCGGACATGGTATAGCGAGCGCGAAAAAACTAATTCAGTTCAGTTAAGATAAAAAACAAAAAGAAACGGTCGAAGTGGCTGAAACGCTGTTCTAAATGGACAAAAAAAGTGGTCGTGCGAATACAGCAAGCGTGCGGTCGATTTGGACTTGCAATTTTCAGGGTCAAACTAATATTAGATAGTTTAAATTATTGAGTTAAAAAAAAACTAATTTGTAATTTATTTGTTTTTGAAATTGTGGCACTTGATAGTGATTCAACGCGAAAAGAATGATCTAATAAGATCCGGTTCGATGTGACCAAATGGTTAAGTGGACTGTATAACAATTTTGAAAAAACTATGTAAGCCGAGTGGGGCAACGAAATAACTGTAGCGACTTACCTCGGTGCCACGGAGCTGCCTTGTATTCTGGGTTCGTCTTCGGGGTACCCTTTGGTGATGCGGAAAATGTTCTTTGGGCAAAAGTAGCGACCCGCGAAAATGCAAAACAGAAAGCTAAAGCGGAACGAGCACAGCGAAAACTACCTTTCCAACAGCGTGGTTTTTACCGACTGCCGATCGACCCGAAAATTAAGTTATGGGCAAACAAAAAAAAGGGGGAACTCGTAAAAAGTCGCCCGTAGAAATTTCGTTGCCATTTAGCGCGCAAATTTAAACTATAAACTATAAAAATATTAAAGAAAACATAAATTCTGAAAGTTAAATGAAAATTAATTATAAATAAGTATGAAACTTATTCAGTTATAGAGTTATCCTGTTTAATCTCGATAGTGAATTTTATACGATTATGTAATGCGTTAATGTAATTTAAAAAAGAATTCAATTGTCTCTCCGTTCCAACAAAGCAAGCAAAGACATCATCCACGTATCTATACCAACATAGGAAACTTTTACATAAAAAATTAATAAAAATCTCGGCTAACAAAGAACTAAGTGGGTTTCCCATAATCAAACCTTCCTTCAGCCGGCCACTCACATAAATGGAAGAATGTGCAATTAAACGTGTGCACGCTTGTCCTAAGTTAAAAGTTTACTGTTCGTACCTTCACACACACTACGTCTTTCCCATCAGTGGTGCATCAAATGTTCATGGCTATGTCGGCAAAGAAGGATCTATACTACATGACAGTGGCGTGCATTTGTGTTATAAGAAAAGAAAATGTTATCAACAATAAGAAAAAAATTACGCTGGGTTAAAGAATGGCTACAAAAGCGCAATGAATATTCTCATGTTAATCTGTTCGAAGAGTTGCGGCTTGAACCTGCTGATTGGCATAACTACTTAAGGATGGATGTAGAAACGTATGGTGAGCTATTGAAGTTGGTTACTCCTCTTCAAAAACAAGACACTTTGATGAGACCTGCCATATTCGTAGACGAAAAATTAACTTCTACTTTTCGTTTCTTGGCAACTGGCCGAGGTTATGAAGACCTCAGTAGATATATAGTGCCGATATAAGCAACAAAAACCGTACATAACCTCAATTTCCTAACCCCCCCGCAGCGGGGGCCCCCCTCGCGTGGCGTCCTAGTGTCCCCCTTGTTTACCAGAGTGCGCTCCGCCCCCCACCCAGCTTGTGTAGCGTCCTGTTTTGCCCGGGTTCCGCCCGTCGCTGCTAGATGTCGCGCGCTTGTGTCGCCAGCTTGTGTAGCGTCCTGTTTTGCCCCGGTTCCGCCCGGTCTACAATAATTTCACTACAATAATTTCACCACAGGCACTAGGGCGCATAATTCCTGAAACCTGTGTTGCTATATATTCTGTATTAAAAAACGAGTTTATGAAGGTAAGTGCATAATAAGGCTATACTTTAATAAAACGTATAAACTTTATTTTTTATAAAGCAGAACACAAAACTAAAGGAAATACAACATTGTACATATTTGCTAATAAAAATGATTAATAGTTGTACGTATTTGAAGAAGTGTAATTACTAAAATAATTTCCAATATCGGTATTTCCAATATTATCGGCGTTGCTGTTCGAAGTCCCAGTTGCGTTATGTGTATGGGAAACTATGGCTTCGGATGGTCCAGGCGGGCAGGAACGAGGCGTTGCCCTAACGGTGGTACATTCATCAATCCTGCCCAGTTCGGCATAAAACAGAACGTCGTTGATTAGCTTTTCGGCAAACACTCTTGTCTCTGCTGGTAGCCTTCTTAATTTGCAAGCGATATTGTGGCCCACCGCATTAAACTGAACATCTTTTTTGGTTCAGTTTGTAACTTGTGGCCAATTAATGTTAAAATTTCATCGGCCTTAGAAACCGGAGCAGCATTGGCCATTGGCCTTTTTCGTGAAGGTCTGATTATACCACGTGAAGTGGAAGCCTCAGTTTCTGTAGTGTTAGCAGGTGAAGAAGTATCAATAAAACCTTCCGCCTGGGTGTCTCGAGTGTCTTGCTAGTCTTGAACGTCTTAGGTGTCGTCGGTGTCTTGGTTATCGGACAGCACCTGTAATAATTACTTTTCCATGTATAGATAAAAAAGCTATATGGGAAAATTTTATCCTAACCCAGGTTTCTTCACTGTTATCATTAGAAAAGTGCCAAACAGGTGGAATCCTGATTTTCGCACGTAGCCATGTCAGTATAGATAATGCGTACATATAATGTATTGTGTTACAAAGTATCTTCAATTTGTTCATTGTTTCAGTTTCCGGCAACTACTGCTGAGTGGAAAGTAATTAGTAAAGGATTTGAGAAGATATGTAATTTTCCTAACTGTCTGGGAGCTGCTGGCGGCAAACACGTAAGGATAACAGCTCCCCCCGCAAGTGGTTCGTACTTTTGGAATTATAAAAGCTACAACAGCCTAGTTTTAATGGCAGTAGCTAATGCAAACTATGAATTTATATTATGTGATTTTGGTACCAATCTTCGCATTTCTGACGGTGGCGTTATTGAAGATATACTCTTCTACACAAAACTCAAGGAAGGAAAACTATCGATACCATTGCCTGAACAACCTGTGGGAAGTCTTCTTCTTCCTTTTGTTTTTATTGGCGACGAAGCTTTTGCGTTACGTTCAGACTTCCTTAAACCTTTAAACCAGCGAGAATTAAATCACGACAAAAAAAAATTTCAATTATAGATCTTCTCGGACACGACGCATTATAGAGAACACTTTTGGAATAATGACTGCCCGATTTCGTATATTTCATACAGAAATTTCAGTACGATTAGAACGTATTGACACGATTGTTATGGTTTGCTGTGTTTTACACAATTGCTTACGAAGTAAATGCTCAGAAAGGTATGTTCCAACTGAGTGTCTGGATACTTGCAAATGGTGCTATTCACTTTGTACTTCGAGCTGATCATCTGGCAGCATTACAACGGGAACATAATAGACATGGCAACCAGTGACCCTGTAGCTGTACGGAAATTGTATTTGAACTATTTTAATCAAGGAGGAACTGTTCCGTGGCAAGAGGTCATGAGAAAGTCACTGACTACAGTTTCTAATTATATTAAGGACCGGATTCACCAACAAAAGTTAAAGTTGTAATATCACAGACGTGGACAATATACATGCTCTTCGCCAGCAACAGAAGTTTGCGACCTTACCACTTTTTTGTGCTCTTTTCGCCAGCATCCACGTAGTGTGTTAATTTTTTTTGATACCGCATCTTTAGATGCATGTACATCAACTGGTTTTAATTTTTTGACAATAATTTCGTAGGCATTATTTTTTTTTGTTTCGGTCGCTGTATTATTTGTTTTTAACACGCCACAAACATGGGCGTTCTCGATATAATTCAATGAATTCTGTAATAAATTCTCGCTACATATTTCGTAAATCAGCCATATTAATCAATGTAAATTATTTTCTTAATTTAAAAAGTTTGACGTATAACAATAATTAGTACGACCCTACTGAAACAATACCGAGCGTGCAGCGACTTGTCCCCACCCACAGTCGGTTTTCCCCGCAGAGGTTTAATTGCATACGCTAAAAATCAAGACAATTCTGATTTTAACAGACTTGAATGCGCATTCCGTATTCTTCGCCACACACGAAGAGTTTTAACTGTTCCTCTGGCATGTGCATTCAAGTCTTGAGTCTTCATTAAATTCAAAATAATTTTGGTCTAAAGATACTATTAAGGAATCTAATAAATCTTGTTTCACCAATGGGTTAACCTGTTTCCGAGTTAGGATGAAATCTACTAAATCTATCACATCCATAGGTGGAATACTGGGAAATAAGTTTTGTAAATCAAAAGACAATAGTGTTGCGTTAAAAGTGATTTTGATATCTTTAATTTTATTGAATAATTCAAAAGAATTTTTTATTGCAAATTTTGGTTTGGAGCATTAAAACGTTTACTAATTTTGTTGAAAATTTAACTGCTGGAGCTGTTACATAAGACACGACTGGTCTAATGGGCATATCTTGTTGTTGGTTTTTGAAATATATTCTGGGAGATCGATATTTAGCTATGACTTCCCTTTATCTGCAGGTGTAACTATTATGTTATATTATGTTATTTTCAGAAGCTTTGTTTTTGCTACTTTTTACTAGTGACATTTGAGAAATTTGTTTGTGTTTGTTTGTTTTGTTTGTGTTAGACAATTAATTGAGAGTTTATTATATTCCCTAATACATTTTTTTTAAATTAGAATCGTTAATGTCCTTAATTGCTAATTCACAATCGATCCCTAAACAGTCTAATTCTCTATTGATGTACGAGTGATGTAAGTTAAAGTTGAAACCTTTTTCCAGAAATTCAACTTCATTTTTAGAAAATGTTGTATCTGTTAAGTTTATCAACCTGTTGTAAAATTGATGGTCGGTATACTTTGTAATAACTGGCTTGCTGTTAGATATTTTTGTATTAGAAATTAATTTGTCTAGCTTTAGTTTTTGTCTAAGAAACTTTTTATGAATGATAGATGAAATATCTGTTCGAATTCTATAATCCAGGGGTTCCCAATCTTTTTTATCCCGCGGCGCAGTTACAAATTTAGTACTTTATCACGGCGCCCTGCTCTTTAAAAAAGAAGAAATAGGCACCTATAATAATTGTTTATGATAGTAGTTAGGTTAGATAGGATTATAAATTAAAACACTTACAATCAAACAGACTTTTTAATATTATAAAATAATTAAAACTGGAAATAACTTGTGTATTTCTTAAGTCTTATGAAAAACAAAAATAAAATATGTACGATTGTCAGTCAAATCAATGTGATGGGTGAGCTTGGTGATATGCACACAGTTTTTCAAAGCGGGGAATAAGACTTGACACTGCTACTCTCATTTCTTTCTCCACATTGATTCTCGAGCGATATTTGTTCTTAATTACAGCTACAGCTGAAAAACCAGACTCGCATAAATATGACGTTGCAAACGGAATGAAAATTCTTAAAGCTTTTGAAGCTAAATTTGGATATTCATTTTGAATTGATAACCAAAACTCCAACAAGTCGGAAGTGATGAATCTAGTTTTAAGACTGCTGTCGCAAGAGAGCTCAATGAGACTCTCTTCATCTTGTGATGTGAACCCTGGTGGAGCTTGTGCGTGGAAAGGATCTTTGATCCATGCAAATTTTTCAACATCATCATCTTTAAAGTACGCCGAAAACCATTCGCTGAGCTTCAATAGGTGTTCCGTGAAGAGGGCAATCAGGTCTGGTGAGACAACCAATTCATTAGATGCCGCATATTTATACAGCTGCGGGAAGCAATCTTGACCGCCGCCTTCATTCATTTTATTTATCCACAACTGTAGTTTCTTTTTAAATGCCGCAATTCTCTCCGATAGTTTCAGAATGTGCGTGTTATTACCTTGCAAAGACAGATTCAAATTATTTAGTTTCTCAAATATATCGCACAAATATGCTAGTTTTAACAAAAAGTCTGGTTCAGTAAAATATTTGGCGCTTTCATGACGTTCTTGCTGTAAAAAAGTTCGAATTTCTTCGTGTAATTCGAACACACGAAATAAAACATTTCCACGTGATAGCCACCGTGAATTGCAATAATACAGCAGGGCCGTATGCTCAGCCCCCATATCCAAGCATAGTTTTTTAAAAAGTCTGGCCTTAAGAGGCCTAGTTTTTATGTAGTTTACTACGTTAATTACAGATTCCAGTACTTGGTTAAGTTCGGAGCTCATAGATTTTGATGCAAGAGCTTCTCTATGGATGATGCAATGGGTCCACAAAGCATTCGGTGCTTTTTTACGAATAAGCGCTTGTACTCCTCCATACCTGCCAGACATGGATCGAGCGCCATCAGTACAAATACCAATACACTTTTCCCAATTCAAACCATTTTCTACAAAAAAATTGTCAATAATTTCAAATAAGTCTTGGGCCTTCGCACTTTCGGTAATGGTTTTGCAGAATAACAGATCTTCGACAATAATATTGTCAGTCAGAAAGCGTACGTAGCAAATAAGATGCGCATCATTATTACTGTCAGTAGCCTCATCAAGTTGCAAACCAAAATAATTGTTTTTGATTTTTTCTATTAATTGGTAATTGAGATCCTCAGCTATGTCATGGATTCTTCGACCGATCGTGTTGTTAGATAAGGGTACCTTGGAAATTAATTTTCCTGCCGATTCTCCAACCATAATGTTTACCATGTCGAGAGCAGCCGGTAGAATAAGCTCTTCTGCAATAGTATGAGGTTTTTTGCATTTTGCCACCCTGTATGCTACCTTGAATGATGCTAACAGTGCGTTGTTAGGTACTGAGGCTTGCTGAGTGAATACGTTTTTTGTTTTATTTAAATTTTGTAATTTTCGGTGAAAAAAATCACGCGATTTTTCAACCATAGTTGGATGAATTGTCTCAAGATGTCGCTTTAACTTACTTGGAAGCATACTTTCGGATGACAATATTTTTAAACAAAGCACACACTGCGGTCTTTCTTCATTATTAACTTCTATTGAAGTAAAACCAAAGTCCAAATAGCTATCATCGTATTTACGATATTTCCGCTTCTTTGCTTCCTTGCCATTACTAGTTGATGCATTATCACTGTCATTTGGACTGCCAACTTGTTTATTTAATAAAAATCTGTCCATTTTGCGTGAGATATTTGACGAAAAACAAAGCGAAAGAAAACACTATGACACGTCCGTCCGTCGCAGCTCGCCCGATGCTACTAAAGACTTAGGAGGGGGGGTAGGGTATCAGGGCGGCGCGGGCGTAGGTTTTTTGGCGAGTGAGAAACGCCGCGACGCGATGGTTAGTAGGTAACTATGTTTTTATAGATGCGAGGGCTCAAATAAGGTACCCGCGTATATTTGTTTCGGACATGTTTCGGATAATGAATGATGATGGACTTACGGCGCCCCTCTTTACATTCTACGGCGCACCAGGGCGCCGCGGCGCACACTTTGGGAACCCCTGCTATAATCAAATGTGTCAAATTCTAGGGGATTAAGTCTATGAGACAATTCAGAATGTATTACCTTTACATAAATGTTGTTTGTATCCTGTTTTCTGTACTCGTGTCTTCGTTCTTCCTTCATCCATTTCGTCTGGCCTTGGATCTGGGCTTTCCTTACAGCGGGACTTCTGTTGTTGGTTTTTAATTTTATAACCTTGGGAAAAACCTTATTTTGCAGACATTTGTTAAAAAACCAAATGTTTTGGGAACATATTCCGCAACATAGAAGCAATTTGAAATACCAAATAGCTAAGAAACCAATTTCTGCTTCATTCAAAAATTAAACTGAGGTGGCTTTTACATGATGAAAATCCATTTATCAAAATAAATAGGAACTAAAAGTTCAGAAATGTTTACAGCATGATCAGAAATATTTAGCCATGTTTTCGTTAGACAGATTATGTCGAATTTATGCAGGTCTACCAATTCAGTAAAATCATTAAATTTAGGAAACAAAGAGCGAACATTAAAATGACATAATTTTAAATTATTATTGACTTGAATTCCAGATTTTAAAATTTCGATATTATGTAAGTAATATTAGCAGATCGGAATATTAGCGTTGTGTCTGTATTTAAGTTCGTTTTGTGTTTACTGTAAACTTTTTTACAATTATTACAGCAAAAGTCTTGAACTTGACATACATTCTTCTTGTGGCTTCTCGAAGACAAAACAAAAATTGAGGCAATCCTTTTTGTAGTGACCAATCTTATGACACCAAAATGCTCATTAAAACTACATCTAGACCATCTGATGAAGAGGTGTCCCTTGGCCATGACATTCCATTACGACGTTAAAATGATTTTTATATTGCAATTCAGTTACAAATTGAAGATCATTAGACGGCAATTGATTAACTTTAAACCAATTTCTTTAGTTTTTATTAAAATGATTACCATGACAATGACTCAAAAGTTAATTAGAAGCATCAAAGCAGAATTTAAATTCTGTCTTAATTACGCTGTGACTCAAGTTAATTTTACACTCCTTTAAAGCCATTTTTCATCATGTGCGCCAACATGTACGTCTCCGCCGCGAATGACTAACTCTCACTGTACAGTGTTTAGCGAGGTACGCAGCTACGAAAGATTCGAACCGGCCCTGCTGCTGCATGTCCTTTTGGTGGTGAAATGTTCTTGCATAATTTGCATTTAAGATGGGTTAAAGAAAGTGGTGGTTTATTATATTTTTTATGTGTATTAATCTGTCACATGGAGTACATAGAAATCGGACAGTATAATCTTACATCTTCGGACGTTAACAGCAAAAGTTGTTGTAGCTGAACCCTGTACATTTCTGCCTCAAAAGAATTATCGAAACTTGTAAGTGAAAATTTATTTTCAGAGTTAGTTATGGTATCTATAAAATATGTCGGAGATCATATGAAATAATCAATAATAATATAATAAAAATAATAAAATACCCGGAGTGGCGGGTACTGATGCCGAATGAGGCGACATAAGGGTAGACTTCTAGAACATTTTAAATGAATGCACAACACAGTGCTTAAAACAAATGAATAATCTAATTGATGAACGATCCACGACTCGCTATATCAACTACAAAATAGTCTATCAAAGCTCTCGGAGCTACTTAAAATCCGACCTAACCAGTGCTTGTATAAAGCCAAACTATCTTTGCCGGTTCGCGTTCTGTTCGCTTAGGAAAAATACCAAAGTGGGTTCCTATAGGTCCACAATATTACGAATGACAGAATTATAACCATACCGACTAGTGTACGTCCTCGGGCACCTGGTGGTCATCTAGACCTCGAAAGCTTTACCTTCATTCGTCCATCTTGACTAACCAAGAAAAATAAAAACGCGATGCAATTCTTCGTTATTGTTATTTACCCCAAAACCTTTACTAGGAGACGAAAATCAATTTACTTGCAACTTGCAATGTAATATCAAACCTATGAATGCATCAGCTATCAAGAACATTGCAATTCAATTCCACCACCATCATCCAGCA